TATGGATCCATCCGGAGTGCAACGAGCAAGTAAACCTCGAGGGGGGGGCCAGAACAAGTAAACATGCACCAGATCTCATCAGATCAAGTTGTTTCGATCAACAAATGAGATCACATGTATAGTTCACATTAGCTCACATACAACTATATATAGTATAGCTTGAAGTTCTTTTGGTGAACTGATGATGAGTTCGAACTACATTTATCGTCATCCCCGACATCTATATATGATTTGTTTCCAACGGAGTGACGTTTTTCTAAGTCTTTCTCCGTTCCATAGCACTTTGAGATGTCCAATTGATTCAAACGATCTACCTGGTTCTGCATACTACCTGGTCTTGCTGGCTCTGGCTGATTGGCTGGTTGACCAATCTCTTGATCGACGTCAGGGACCCTTTTGGCTGGTCTGGTTTTCCCAGCAAAAGAGCTGTCTTGAGACCAACCTAAAGAAGTGACCAGAAGAAAAACCTAAAGACCAACCTAAAGAAGAGACACTATACTAAAGACCAACCTAAAGACCAACCTAAAGAAGTTTCTGAACTTGGAACAGCATTGGCATGGTATTTCGACCTGCAACACAGGTCGGTGTGAGGGGTCGAGACAGTGGTTCCACATGAAACCATGAATGAAAAATCATATGTGACTCCCAAGTATAAGTGCAACACGCATACCGTGCATACCCGTTTTGACACTCGTTTTTCCGGAAGGCCGGCATGGTCTTCCGGAAAACATGGTTCCGATGAATCTTTGACTCATTCTCTGCCTCTGGGAGATGTTGCTGGTAGCTCTTGAGCTTTGTTTCTGGCCCTTTTGTGGTCCCTAAATAGATAGAAGGCACGGTTTCCAACACACTTTGAGCGGGCAGTGGGATCTACTTTTCCATCAATTTGGGGGTCTAGCTGTAGCTGTATTGTGGAGGGAGGATGCCGCATAGTCTTCAGTAATCCGACGTCTGCAACCAGGGCCGATCCACTCTGATCCACTCGTACCGTGGAGTACAGCTCTGCAGGGGGGCGCGGGCGGCGCAGTTGTGTAGCAAGGCGAAACACCTTGGCTGTTGGAGCGGCTGGCCACCGCGCGGTGAAAAGGTCAGAGTGGCAGTGCGTGTGCAGGGTTTCTGCATCCAACCTTGGAGCTTTAAAAGTGATTGTCACAGACAGGACTTTGCAGACCACATCCTTACTTCACGGAGATGTAAAAGATGTAAACGCTTTCATCCTGCGTTTGGATCAATCCTTCAGGTGCCAGCCGCACCTCATATCTGACATCCCACAGATCGTGGGAGCCAGGAAAGTACTTTTTGCAGCTTTCTGCATCCACTTTTGATGTGCCAAGTTGCCAGAAAGCGCAAACTGTTTTGAACTGTCCCCCCCCAAAAAGGACCTATACCTACTGCAGCCCTTCTCAAGAGGTAGTGCCTCATTAGCTGCGCCATGTCAGCCGGCTACCCGAGCGAAGCATCTGCATCGAAGGAAGAGCTCCAGGTTCAGGCAACCTGCTTCTGTGAGGTGAGTTTTCCATGGAGGGAATCTGTAAAGAAACCTTCTGGCAGCTTCTGAAAGGTTTAGTGTAGACGCGCGTTTCTTCGGCAAATCATGGCAAATCCAAGGTTCTGGGGCTGCATGGAGACGGATTCAACTTGCAAGTGCTCACAGGCTCTGAGCTTCGAAAGATGATTCGGGACCGACTTCCATGCAAAGATGGAGCAAGAGTCTCAGTGCTGAGAGGAACTGAGAAGCTGTCACTGAGGAAGACTCTGACCGAACAAGGTCTTGCACCAGGGCAATCACTCTCTTTGTCCTACACTTATGAGGCAGTCGACCTGCAGGAAGCTTGGATGTGCCTCAAAGGCCGCCCCATTGAGGATGCGTCGATGGCTCTGCTGCTGCCAATGCAGGGTGCAGCCCAGAAAAATCTTTTGCATGCTTTTGCTATCTGGGGTCTATGCTGGGGTAATTTAGTGTCTGGTTGAATCTTGGCTTCGGTGGAACCACATGCATATGGTTTGGGCAATTTATGTTCCAGATGGGAAGGCATGACCCCGAATAGATAGCACAATACAGGACAATTCATACCAGGTGATACCGAACTCACCCGGGGTGTTGGGGGAATCAGACGGGCGCCACCGAAATGTTCGGAACATTTGCCACACTTTATGTGCCACATGTGCACCTACTGGGCAACCCTATGCTATTATCTCTGACAGATCTGCTTCCAATGTCCAAAAATGAGGTCCGACATTCCATTGACTCAACACTGACTGGTAATTGGCATATGCATCTAGCGTGTTGTATTGATGTGTTGCTGCCGCATCTTTCTCTTTTTCAATTTTTAAACTGGAATGGAATTCAGCAAGTTAATGGTAAATTGTAAGCAAAGCCTCCATTTGTTGGTTGGTATGAAATTACACCAGCATAGACCCAGATAGCTAGGCAGAATCCCACGACCTGTTGACATGCGACTGGCTGGAACAAGAATGCACGCAGCCTGCACAGCCAGCTTACGGCACCTCCGCAGCGCGCACAATCAGCTGACACCAGCACCGGTGCGCTTTGTCAGCTGACAACACTGGCAGCGGCGCCAGCACCTGACCAGCGCCGCCGCCCGTCTTAAACGCGCGCTCAGCCAGCTCACAGCACGAGCGCCCAGGACCACAACACCAGCACCAGCGCCGACACCCTTTCGAAAGCGCGCGCAGCCAGCTCATTTTATTTGCAACAATAACCCCATAGCTATCCCTATTTGGGAAATAACAACGTATGAGCTTGCGCGTATAAGTTTACGCGCGCAAAAGTATGCACGCAAACAGCAAAGCCCGTAAGTGTCATTGGCCCAAGGCCAAGCAGTATCCAGCGCCACTATTGTAACGTGCTTGAAGCAACGATCTGCAGACCGATAAGGCCGTATGATCTCGGGCATATAAGTTTATGCGCGCAAAAGTATGCGCACAAACGGAAAAGCCCGTAGGCTTCACTCGCCCAAGGCCAAGCAGTATCCAGCACGACTATTGCGTGCGCAGCATGCTGAAACAATCGTCGGTTGAGAGCCTGACGTTGCGCATAGAACATTATACATACATAAGTATGCGCGCAAACAGTACAGCCCTTGACACAGCTGTCGGCCAAAACAGAACCTGAAGAGTGTAAATAGACAAAGAACGCTCAAGCGACAACACCGTATGATGTTGCGCGCATAAGTTCACGCGGCCCATGACTGCTGGCGCTTCATTGTCAGAAGCGGCGCTTGGTCGCCCTTCACTGCTGCAAGGGGCGGTTTGTTACCCTTCACAGTCAGAAGCGGCGGTTGTTATCACTTCACTGTCAGAAGCGCGCGCCAGCACCGAGCGCCGGCACACCAGCTCACGCCGCCCACCACCAGCACCCAGCACCGGTATACCCAGCACCAGCAACCTGTCACCACCACCTGCGCAGCCAGCTCACAGCGCCAGCACCAGCACCGGCACCCAGCGCCCAGCACCAGCACCGGCACCCGGCACCAGCACCAGCAACCTGTCTCCACCACGCGCATGGCCAGAGCACCAGCACCAGCGGCGGCACCCGGCACCAGCACCAGCAACCTGTCTCCACCATGCAGCTCACAGCGCCAGCACCAGCACCGGCGCCCTTCACTGCACCCAGCACCAGCACCAGCAACCTGTCTCCACCACGTGCACAGCCAGCTCACAGCACCAGCGCCAGCACCGGCGCCCGGCGCCCAGCACCAGCTCCACCGCGTGCGCAGTTAGCTCACAGCACCAGCACCAGCGCCGGCACCCGGCACCCAGCACCAGCCGGCACCAGCAATCTGTCTCCACCACGTGCACAGCCAGCTCACAGCACCAGCACCAGCACCGGCGCCCAGCACCAGCAACCTGTCTCGAAAGCGCGCACGGGTAACTCATTGTTATTTGAAGTAGGAACCCCATAGCTTCGCTATCTGCGGAAAAGGTCGAATCTGCTGCTTCTTGAAAGATAGGCAAATCAAATTGATTGATCTGTTTGGCAACTTTGTCGGCTAATTCATTACCCCACATGGTATATAGATCATCCGTGTCGACAGCATCATCGAGTTTACGATGTGATTTCACCTTTTTGATTTCATGGCAGAGCGGATTCCAGAAGCGTTGCAACAGGTAGATCTGATCTGCATGTGACCCCTGAGGACCCGAGCGAAGACGGTCGGGTCTTCCACCAGTACATCGAGGCGCGCAGTGTCGAGCTGCGTCTCTTCTACATGCACATGAGATGTTGTTTCAGCATTCTCAAGGCTTGCAGCCAATCTCAAAGCTTGTTCTTCCTCAACGGAGAAGACAGGTCCACTAGGTCACTAGGTGAGATGGAAGCAATGGTTTCCAGACAATCAAGCATGCTGGTGCAATGATCCAATGCCGTTTTCTCAAGCTCAGAAACCCCCTCGAATGGCACAGTTGGGTCAGACACCTTTTGTTGAATGGTCTTCTCGACCTGTTGAAGAGCTACTACTACTACTACTGCTACTGCTGCTACTACTACTACTACTTGCTACTACTACTACTGCTACTACTACGACTACTACTACTACTCCTCCTACTCCCCTCGTACTCCTACTTCACTCCTACCCCTACTCCTATATACTCCTACTCCGAGAGCTGCTGCTGCTACGACTACTATGTTTATTACTATAATTTGCTACTGCTACTGCTACTACTACTTCCGGCAGGTTTGGTTGAGATCAGATGGAGACGGGACCCTGAATGTGCGGCGCCCTGGGGGTGAAGCTTCTGTTGTTAGAGCTAGAACTGGGATGGCGATGAGTTCGGCTGTCCATTCTCTCCAGCAGGTCGAAATTGTCCAGGTAGACGCGATGCAAGTCTGTGAACGCTCGATCTTTTCTGATCTCTTTTCTGACTGCAATACATTCCCTTGACTCTCGCTTGCCCTTCTTACCATAGCCCTGTGTACATGTTGTGCCAAACTTACGCTTTTTTTTGAATCCCATTGGGAGAACTTGGGACGCGAGATAGTATGGACCATGCTCATCTGGCCACTGATCTTGGGGCACTTGTCGATTGAATCCAAGGAAAGCGGACCATTCCCGGTGGTTCGCCAGAAAACATGTGTGCTGCTGAGGAGCCCAAGTGCTGGTGCTCATTTCCAAGCGCAAAGGCTTGGAAAACCATGATTATGGTTTCGGGAGGAATTGGGCTAGGCCAGCATGTTGACAGTAGGCCCTCATGCAACCATCCTAAGTGGCATGCTTGTTGGAAACTTATTTACCCCTTGCAGAGTTCTTTTAACTAACCAAGCTCTGTTTAAACATGAAATCAAGAAAAACGCCACAATGTTCCCGGAATACTGCTACATCACGATCCGTCAAATAATACCCAGTTCGTTTATGGGAATCAACCCACCGCGCCATGTGGTACCTGGGAGAGCCGGGTCTTACGCTTACATTTGCACGGCCGACTCGCCAAAAAATATGGGACTTGTAAGTATGACTGACAAACAGCCTCAACTAAGTCCAGTTACACACAGCGGGTCATGAGACACAGCATGTCATCTTCGCGAGTAACTACACTAACCAGCCAATCTTCTAGCCAAGCACAAACGACTCGTGCCTCAGCTGGGCAAGGATTTCGGAGAGCAAACTTCAAAACTATTTTTGTTAGTTGAACTCATCCATCTCTTGAAAGCTTGAGCAAAAGGTCCTTTCAAGTTCCCCAGGTCAACCTGTTGTGGGCCCCCAACAGAAGTCCTTCAGAGTTACTTGGGCCCATTTGTGTAGACACTTAGCTCGTTTACGCTCCGCTTACCCTCCCAAGAATCATGGAAGATGGTGGTCTTCCATATGGGGGGTCATTGTCCACTTCCGTGTTTGTTGGAATGGTACTGGACAGCAAGTATTGGAAAACACTAGCCGCTTGAGCCCTTCCTGGTGCAGCTTTGGATAGACTCTATTTCTGTGCGGGAGGCAGCAGTCGCTGTGCAATCGGTGTTCAACGGAGTTTGCCACAAGAAACGCTGGGAGCTTGTCACCTTTCTTCTTTTATTTCACCCAGTTTGTAGTTTTATCGGCCGAAGATAGCCAATCACCTGGGGCTGGGGCATCAGTTGGTGAACAAGATCAGGCACCTTCAATTCAGGGCTCCGAGGAGGGGTCTTGCCGCACCATTTCATTCGATTCTGTGTTGCTTTTCGCTGCATTGCAGTTTGGGCAATGTGGACTTGCGTGAAAGGTTGAGTTGTCCATCGCCGAAGACCCCGCTGGAATAGAGCCCACCAAAGACGCCACAGATGTAGGCAAAGATTGGATTGGACCATGCTATTCGAGCTTGCCATGGGTCATTAATTCCACACCAGATAAATATATATGTTTTTCCAGGCCATGGTCGTTGTTGCTGGTGTAGTACGTTTGCACATCTCCCTTAAATCGATCGCCACATCCCTGAGGGCGGCGCCATGGAGCGCTGATAGGGTGCAGTTTTTCCCTGTTCACCCTATGACATCTAACCTCAGCCTGGGAGCACTGAATGTTGCCGCAAGGAGCCAGACGGGCGGCTGTTTAAAGTCCGACTCCCCTTCCAGGCGCTCTCCCGAGTTTGTGGGCGTGTTCGCTGTCATGTAACCAGATCTTAAGCTATACTGTCAGCAGATGACATGGGTCTGGAATACGGGTGAAAGTCATCAAACATAGATTACTGTACATAGGTTGGTGGGATGGTCTCAGAAGGGTCAGCATTTCAAGTGTTGGTTGCACTCTGGAGAAGTGCTGGTTGGGATGGGAAACTCTTTTAGGTTTTGTTTCCCCTATTGGGTAAATCCCTTTCCTCGGGAATCTTCTTTCCGGTTGCTGTAATCCAAGCTTTCCCTTGCAAGGTGTCGTAGTACCTGCCGCCGGGAGCAGCTGGACCAGTTGGTGGACGAAGTTTGCCATGCAGGCTGGGTCCTTCGGTTGGTCCAAATGGATCGTCGGTTTCCATGCAGCAAGTCCTGGGGCAACGAACAGCTTGGCTTTTGTATTGATGAACTCATAGACGAGGTAGCAGCGCCTACCGCGAAATTGCGTCCGGGAAGCCCAGGGATCCACAAGGTGGGAGAATTCAAATGGGGAGAGCGCCAGCGAGGCGCCTGCAGAGCAGATGCAGTGGTTGAATAGGCGCATCGTTCGAATCTACTGTGTGTGGTCCGATTGTACTTAACGATCGCCAAGCGACTCTCATGTCGAGGGCCTCGGGGCTCGAATGTCTATTTGCGGGCTCATGTGATTTGATGTTGATTTGCGATCGCAGGACACAGGTGAAAAAGTCATGTGCCGGCAGTTCGAAAGGGACGCCTATTTGGAGGATAGAGGTGCCTATGGTCCACTCACTTGACGACCAGAAGCCACCCCTTTGTGACTCCTGGTGAAGGCCCTTTGCTTTTGCATTGTTTTGGGTGACCGATGGCTAATGCTGATTCCCCACAGTAAGACAACATGGATCCAAGTCACAAATTTGTGTCCGCTAAGCGGTCAAGGATGTCTCGGGTGGCGAAGATTTGGATGTAGATCTTCGGGGTTGGGAAGATGGTTCTCCCTCATCCTGACACGAAGTTGTATCCTCTTTTCTTCATCCTTATTTGTATGTGGATCTTGCGCGCCAAGAGTGGCCTTCTGCCGCCATTCGACTCTGAGGCACCCTGCGCACTTGGCCTTCAACGGTGCCTTGGTTTCCGGCGGATTCGGGGTCTGGGGGGGCCAGCGTCCTGACTTTGAACCCCACAAAAGTTCTAGGCGTTTGACCGGCCCAGTAGCCTCCAAAGCCTTTCTTTTGGCTGTGATTTCAACCAGACCCTTGACGGAGTCACTTGGCCCAGCAGCCTCCTGTGCCTTTCATTCGGCGACAGGTTTAACCGACCACTGGCAGGAGTCACTTGGCCCAGCAGCCTTCAGAGCCTCTCGTTCGGCTTTCATTTTGACCAGAATCCGAATGATGTCAATTGGCCTAGCAACCTTCTAAACCTTTCGTTTGGCGGCGCCCAGAACTGGAGCATTGAGGACATTGAGAGCGATGTGGCTTGGCCATGTTGACAACGTCAGCGCGCCGTTCGTTTGCTTCAATGCTGCTTTCGGTTCTTCCATTGCCTTTTAGTTTAAACAGGTCCTTGTTTGGTTGGTGGTAGTCCCCACGCCCCCAGTCATATTCAATTGAGACTTTAGGCAAGGTCAAAGGATTGCTGGTGGGGTCCCGTAGTCCATAAGACAGTCAAACGAGTCAAACGATCCAGAATACGTACGCAGAATGGTCTTGCTTTAAAAAATAGTTGAATTTATTGTTGAAAACACAGTGTTTGGAAAATGATTGTTACTGATGTGCCTCCTTGTTTACCGGATGGACCAAAAAACATTGACCAAGTTACACAGCGTCTATCTGAGAGTCTATCCCATGACCTGTAACAGTCGGAAAACTATTGCAACTATTTAAACTTTACGAACCATTATCAATTATCATCCACTGTTACTGGTAAAAGGCTTTAAATGGATTTACCCAAAGAACGCACATGTACAGGTTTGACGGGCCTCCTGTAATTTGGGCGGTTCTTTTGGTGCGTTGCTTTTGTTGTGCTTCCCTAAAGCGCCACACCATGTCTGCTCCAGAGGTTTTTGATCTGAATACATCATTTTCACAGGTTCTCAGCCTCATTCTGAGTCCCGATCTGGAAGCTGTTCCGGTTCAACATGCGAGGAATCTTCCACAACAGTATCAAACTCGAAGAGCTTGGCTTTGGCCAGCGTTCCCAATGATTCCGACATTCAGTCTAGTCAAGTCCAGTGAACCAGCTGGCCGCCCCATAACGATGTCCCTTAGGCATTGTAAGTGACCTCCACCTGTAAATCAGGGGGGCACCTCAAGCTCCCATCTCATCCGTCATACCTTGTCAGTAGGCGGACAGCGCTGCCAAACCTAGGTTTGTCTTCCGTTCATTGGAACTCTGACGGGAGCAGCTTGGCCCAGAAGCCTCCAAAGCTTTGCATTCGGCTGCTTTTTCAACTTCAGTCTGACGGCAATGGATTGGCCGGACAGCCTCCGGAGTATTTCGTTTGGCAACATGTTCGACCAAAGCCTGCAGGGAGTGGCTTGGCCAGGTATCTCCAGAGTCTTACGTTTGGTAGAGACTTCAACCAGAGCCTGGAAGGAGTCACTTGGCCCAGTTGCCTCGAGAGTCTATCGTTCGGCAGAAATTTCATCAAGAGCTTGCAGGGAGTCATGGCCTAGTAGCCTCCGGAGCCTTTCGTTTGACAGAGATTTCAACCGTAGCCTACAAGGAGTATCTTGGCCCAGCAGCCTCCAGAGCCTTTCGTTTGGCTATTATTTCAACCAATCTCTGGCAGGAGTGAATTGGCCCTGCAACCTGTAAAGCCTTTCGTTTGACAACGGCCAACGTCCCAGAGAGTCAGCGCATTTCTTGGATTTGGGCGATTTACCCAACCATTTTTTGATTTGGACCACGTCGACCATGGGTTGGACGACGGCGAAGATCGCTTGGATTGGTCGTGGGTGGCGCCGATCCAACGGAATGCGCCGATCCACGCGGGAGCTGGGGGTAGCTTGGAGCCCCACAAGCAAATGGAAGAAGTGATTTGGCCCAGCAGCCTTCAGAGTCTTTCGTATGGTCACACATTCAACCAGAGATTGCATGGAGTGACTTGGCCTATTAGCCTCCAGAGCATTTCTTTTGGCAATGATTTCAACCAAAGCCTGCAGGGAGTGACTTGGCCCAGTAGCCTCCGGTGCCTTTCATTCGCCGATGGTTTGAACCAGACCCTTGAGGGAGTCACTTGGCCCAGTAGTCTCCAGAGGCTTTCACTCAGCTCTCGGTTCAGCCAAAGCTTGGCGACGGTGGAGTGGCCCAGCAGCCTTCAAAGCCTTTCGTTTACTTCGCATGGTGGTCAGGGAAGCTCTTTGCAGGTCAAGGAGGTCGGAGCGGTTCTTCCCAGAGGGTTGCGAAGCTTCCAGGTTTTGCTGAAGGTGAGTTTTTATTTTCCCTATATGGTTCAATCTTCTGGGGAACATGTTTATTTTTGCAGGTTCCTTAAGAGCCAATCCAAGGTTTAGACTTTTGGTGCAACGATGATGAGCTCTTGTCGATCTCCTTCGAAGGATTAACACCGGCGACCTCGGCCACCTAGCAGACCTGGCAGACCTCGGCCATGTGATGAAGTGGAGACGTTCGATTGTGGGCTCAGTGACAGGAGGGTCTGTTTATAGAAAGCACGATATTCAATGCATTGTTCTATACTATTATGTTCTACTCACGACATCTTTTTTGCGTGTGCGTGGCCAAATGCTTGGTCGTCTCGTCGTCTCGTCTCGCATCAAATCGGACGGGACCGGTCGGGCAGAGGTCGGGGACTGGAAGAGTTGCATGAAGGATCCCGATTGGTCGGGTCACGAAGATGGATGACCCATGGCGACCCGGGAGTCATCGCTCGTTCGGCAGGACGGACCTGGGAGGGCAGGTCGTCTCGTTCGCCGGGCCGGACATCGGGTCCGACGACTCGACGACTTCAACGACTGGGTCCATGATGGTTGGTCGATGTGTGTCTTTTCCTAGTCCAGTCCCATGGATGGTCTGTGGATTTCTGTGTCTATATATATATATATGTATAGAATATATGTGTATTACAACATATACTATATATATATATTATACATATATACAATATATTGTATATATTATACATATATATAATATATTGTATATATTATTTATCAAAATATATATATATATATATTTATATTTATATATATTATTTAAAAACCAAGGGCGCCCATCCTTCTACTCATCTGCATCAACCGAGCTTGGCTCGTCAGGTTTTCGACGTCCGTCCGCGAGGAAGCAGCCGGAAGCAGTGTCTTTTTCGCAGATTCAAAGTGAGACAGCTTTCTGAGCTCCCTGAAGACGACTAGAAAGAGAACTGTTCAACAGTCTGCATGGGAGAAGGCATGACATGTGATGATGTGTTCAAACCCACTTCCAATTGACTAGATCAAAGTGAACGATGCAGCAAATGCCATGACTAGAATTTGACCAGGAGGCAAAGCTAGCTTGCCTGCTTCCGAAACAAAGCTCTTTTCATTACATGAAGTCATTCAACATCTAAATATCAGGAAAGCCACATCTTAAGATTCTTACGGAGTCAAGAGATGTCATCTACTGATCTCTACTATATTCAATCCCCTCCACTTGCCATGGCGGGCCCCGAAAAGAAGGCGCTGCAGACCGCCCGGACGCTTGGGGGTTGAGCGTGTTGAGCGAGCGGATGGGGTCAGCGACTGTGGGGGGAAGCTGACGAAGACTGAAAGAGAGGGAAGAACAACAGCGATGGAACCTAATAGCGATGGTAACCCAACCTGGCGATGGCCTGCAAGCTAATGGGGTACTGGAAAGATTTGATCAGTCCCGTCAGTTTTTGATTCCTAAACAATCATAACAAACTAGCCTGAGGGACTCACAACTATTTATGAGTTAAACATCAGGGATTATGCGTACGGGGTGTCCAGTGGAGATTCATCCGCAGCAAGTTTATGTGCATCCATTGTAATCATGCGCATCCCGTTTCATGTTGACGGTTTGCAGGTGTCCTTTTGGGTTGTTTTCTGTGTGTGTGCCAGAAAAAAACAGGCACATCTTTCCATGGAAACACTGTTTGGATCAAACGGCAACGACGCAGAACCGCTTGACCGCGTTCCGGGGACCGAACCTTACGACGGTTTGACCAGGTCATGCCTGCCCCTAGTAGCTTCTTGCTCCTAGTAGTATGGCCAGGAGCCCCTAGTAGCGTCCTTGCTCCCAGTAGCGATGCCAGGAGCCCCTAGTAGCATCCTAGAAAGCATCCCTTTAAGAATCCAGATCTGTGATGGATGGCGGCAACTCTATGGACCACAGGGCGACAGCTGAATACCAAGCGGAACGAGCGACCCTGGCCCGGACGTAGTCTCGTGGTCAGACAAGCGTTAGGACCCCGGACGGGGGGCGTGCGAACCGGACGGAGGCCCTCCTACTACACCGGACTTCCAGACGCCACCTGCGAGGGACTCGAAGACACCGTCAGGGTTTCGTCCAATGGATTATTGCAGGGAGTGTATATATGTAGACTCTGAGGTCAATCAACCACCAGTCACATGACAGTCCCAGAGAGGTGCCTGTGTAGGATCCAGGCACAAATGCCATAGTCCAGCTGAGCTTGGCGAAGTGACAAATGATACCTCCATAACCTGGTGAACTGCAGATCAGGTGATTTTGGTGTTTTCCCGAACTGGTTGAATTCCCACCGTTTCCTGGGGAATGTGTTCTGTTTGGTTCAGTTTCCTGGGAGTCGCCATTACCTGCAAGACATATAAGCTGACTGGTGCGACGAAAGTAGGGAATAAGGGAAGTTTCGCCCCCAACCAGGGAATTACTATTGGCCAGCCACCCTCAGCCACCCTGCCCACTCGTCGCACCAGTCAGTAAGGGAGAGACATGGTCTCAGGAACCAAGCGACCGTGACGAACCCGACAAGGGGACCGATCGTTGGTGAGGGAGAGGGTGTGAAAGGGATGTCCAACATCTCTTCAAGTGAACCATTCATGTTTCACATTGCTTAACATGTGTTCAATATAATATATATATATACATACACCCTGGGAGTGCTTAATTTTGTTAAGAAGGAGTGTCCTTTGCAGTACTTCCTGGGAGTCCAAGACCATGTTGAGAATGGTCTTTAGATGATCCAAAAAGGACTTTTCTTTGCTTCGGTGGTTCCTGGTGTCAAGTTTTTGACAGTGCCCTCCTCACGCCCACGCCCCCCTCAGCGCGCTGCAGGCGTTGGCCGCTGTGCTGGAAAACAAGAGATCTCCAAGAGATGACTTGGTGCCAGCAGAGCAGCTCAAGGTGAAGCACTGGGACCTTACGATCTGGGACCGTGGGACGGATGGGGGACGAGCCGAGGTGGTCGACAGGCTGATCCACATGTGTATTTGTCGGCTCTTGCTGTTTCGTTTCATCAGCCTGCCCTTACTTCACCAAGCAGGCACCTACTTATTAAGTCAGGGCTGAACGAACTACCAGGCACTACTAAGTAAGCTGCTACTAGCTAGGATGCACCATGCAGAACAACAAACTCAGAGTTTGGAGCTCCACAATTCCAGACAGGGCAAACCGGCCTGTGTCGAGCGGTTCCTCACGGCCGCCCGTTGCCGCCCGAAACGGGTCTTCCAAGTCGATCCGGCCCACTGACGGTCCCATGCTGCAGGACCTGGAGCGGGTCGGACCTGGAACTGGACCCAGCATTTTTTTTTTTGGGGGGGGGTGCAAAACACCCGAAACACTCCCAAAACCCCTAAGTCTTGCTGCAGGTCATCCCAGGAAAGTGTTACATATACACAGATATATACAAAAAAAGTAGATAGATTATATATATATATTATATTATTTTAGATATATAAACTCTATAATTAGATACTACTTAATCTATTTGTGCACTATACACGTCCCCAACATCGCCAGCTCCAGGATGCCACCCAACGTGGCTGCGTTCGCTTGCGCGCGTCGCAGGCGGAGATGGCGCTGTCCATCAAGAGCGATCAGCGCTTCAAGCAGATGGATGCCTTTACACGCCAGAAGAAGGCCACGCCAGGAAAAGTGGACCACCTGCAGGTCACCTTTTTTGGGATTGGTTCGGCACCCTACTAAACAAGAACAGCGAGCGGAAAACATCGAAAATTCGGCAAAATCCAAGGCATTTGACCTTCTGGGTGGTGAATGTGATGATGACCCACAGTTCACGTTGTCCTCTGAAGAGAGGTACCATAATCTTCATTTGCAGGAAAAGACAGCAGTTTTTGACGAAGTCAGGACAACGCTTTGTGTTGCAAGTCTCATCATTGGAAACAAGTCGAAGGCGCCTTCTGACTGCTTTCGAAAGTACTCGTGGGGTCGCCCAATGTGCTGTGTGCAGCAGAGATGATTTCGGTTGCGGTATCAGCGCGGCCTTTGTGTTCAAAATTTGACGTCAACCATGGGGACATGTCGACCATGATCATCCAAGCCCAAGCTTCAAGAAGCAACAGAAGAATCACTCGTCTAAAACCATAGCCTGGACTTTGAGTACTGACATGAAGTGAAGGGCCTGAGGTCACGCATGAAGGGATTCAGTCAAAGCACTTTTGGATGTCAATCCTGCGCTAGGGAATTGTAATGTGAACACTTACATCATCGGAAATAGACATGTCGAAAGAGACATATCCGATCGGACTGAGAACTTGCCAAATAACACTTTGGCTCAAGACAATCCAGCTCTAGGTAGCCCAGTCGAACTTGGCAGGAGGAAAATGTGGAGTTGCATGCCTTTCTTGTCAGGAACGAAAGAGAAAGTGAAGAGGAACCCCTTGAGCACCAGAAGGCAGAAGGCGGTGAATGCCATAAACTCTTCCCAAGTGTACAGCCGTGGCGAAGAGGTCTTGTGGTTCTACTACCGCTTGCGCTCAGCTCTCAATAGTCGTGGAGAGATTCGAGGGGAAGTCACGACTCTCATCGATTACATTGAGTGTGTACATGGGGCAGCCTTGATGACCGACGCTGGACATGACGAGCCTGAAGGATTCATCGCCGTAGATGTAGAACCCAAAGGGCCGCAGGAATCCTGAGGACTAAAGGAAAGAGGCTTCTTATCACCGGATCAAAGATACACAGTGTGCCTGAAAAGGATTGAGGCTGCGCTTTCATGGTCGCGATCGATCGACCGTTTGCGACTGTGCTGCCCCTATATGGATAGAATCAGGTATACGATCAGCTTTCAACTGCAACTCACTCATTTCATTGTCCGCCCCAGGCGGCGAATAAGCTGATCCAACAAGGCAACCAGCAACCCAAACAGACACCAGCTGAGCATCACCCGCAGCGCGAGATTCACGCCTTGGTTCGGGTGTCGCCGCCAGAGGCCGCCCCCCAGCCAGGGAGGCTGGCGACTTGGATTGCAGCGATGGCAGCTGCTGGGTCCTGGTTTGCAGCTTTGCCCTTCGTGGATGATGCACGTCAGGATCTGATTGCCTGGTTCGAGCTTGCCGTCCTCGGGTTTGATCGAGTGAGTTCACGGCCAGCGGCATTAGGATGACCAATGATCGTTTCAGATGCCCGGGGGTGGCTTTCTTTGACTTTCATACTGGTGCCTTCTATTTCCGTGATCGTGCAAAATGTCGTTGCCTCAGAAAATGGCGTGTGACCGTCGTTTCAATTTTATGCTGCGCATTTGGATTGGTCTAGAGATTGATCGGAGAGGGGAGGACTGGGAAGTGAAGATTCTCCAATTGCCTCCAGAAGATGTGGAAAGGCTTTGACTTGTCCGCTGGTGTGAAGTGACAAGTCGCTTGATCCTATTTGAAAAGGCATCCGTTCATTTTGAAATGGTCAACATGGCCTATGTTTTGGTTTTGAGGTCGCAGCATTGGATCTGGGTGAACCGGGTTAGAATTGGAGGAAAAGATCAAATCCACATACACCCTGCTCCTCCTTCGGACATTTTAGAAAGGAATCGATTGATTCGGACATTGGCAAGTGTATTTTTCGGCATAGCTCTTGCAGACACGCTTGCTGTTCCAATTCCCATTTTTGTGTGGATTCCCTACATGTGAATCGCATTCGATATACCTCCTTTGGCTTTTCAATATTGTCACCGTCATAACTTGGAATGGACAGAACACAGCCAAATCGTCCAACACATTCTTGAGATTGCTTGCAATACATGGAGAATTACTGCGCGACAGACCAAGCCTTACTTGAATTGATTCTCAACATTCGAGTGCGTTTTCTGTTCAAGACTATTACTGATCCTACCCAAACAGCGCACGCGGCTGGTGGTCAACCTCCAGGTTTCTCGAAGCTCTCACGCAGTACGCAGAACAAGCTCACACAAAGAATCGAAAGTATCATACCGGTCTCTGGCATTTGCTCTTGCAAGAGAAGTCGTATCACATGTGTGGTCACTTTGCTGCACATCCTTGGAGCTCTAATAGGAGAGGCAAAGAACCCTGGTTCCCAGCAATATGATACTCTATCCTTATGCGTCCTGAACCCAACCTCCATCGATGATAAAGTTCAACATCTTCTGGACCTGGATTGTCATGTACTTCTCCTGGCAAAAACCTCTGCCACTAAGATTGTGGAAAGGGATTTCTCGAGATATGCCAAAGATCAGGTCACTGGTTGCATTGGGAGTTGTCCAGCAGCTGATAAAATCATGACACTAGCTGAGCAAAGAGGTAGGCCCTCCAGACGAGGGAAATCGGTTGGAACAGCTGTAGTTTCTCGTTTACTCTAAGATATCAGGCCCCTGATCGCAATTCTAATTGGCAAACCTCTAGAGTATGTGCATCAGTGATTCAACTCGCGGAACAGGAAGTCTTGGTGATTGCTGCGTGCTTTTTCGCTGGTACATCAAGAGACATCAAGCAAAAGAGTTGCTATCTTTTTGGCAAAATCGTCTCCTTTATCCTTCTACATGATTTGCCTTTTATTCTTGGAGAGGATTTCAACTTGGATGTTACCAAGCTTGATTCATGGCAATCCCTCGATTCCAGACAACCCATTAAACTCGTTTCTTTTGCAGCCACCAAAGAAGTTCTCCTACCTCGTACGTGCAGGAATGCAACTCACAACGATTCGTTTGTGCTTGATCAGCGCCTTATATCCTATTCATTCACTCATTGTGTTGATTCAGATCGCCAAGTTGCAGACCAATCACCAATTATCCATGAACTTTGGATGCCACATTCTCATGTTTGTGGAAAACGGTGGCACCTACCTCAATCATGCGCTAGGACTGACCAAGGAAGCTGTTGAGGAAAGTTGGAGACTCTTAGCGCCCACACGTGCTAGACGACAAGGCGTTGTCACGCCACGACGATTTGCAAGCTTTGGCGTAAAGCTTTGCCCGGTCTCCATTTACAGGACCCATTAAAACATCCGTCCACCTCTTTACCTCCAAGATACCGTGGACGTCGCAGACGACCTAAACTTGTCATCAAACTACAAGGCACTTTCAAAACTAATCCAGATCTTACCGGAGCTTTCAATACTGCCTCAGAACACTGCCTCAGAACTGTCCACTTTTCCAGCACGACGCAAGCTTAGACAACGCAGACGTTTGGCCAGCTTACTTCGTCAATTCTCCAAGTTTCTACAACTAACACCGCAAGACGAAATCCTCCAGTCTCCCGGGAGTCAGCTCTTGCAAGAATGGTTGACACTTTGTAGATCATCAAGTTTTGGAAGCGGATGGGATTCTTGGATATGGTTTTGAGTGTTTCGAGTCATTTCCGGTCTTTCCATCTTTCACAGAAGCTGTTGACTGTCTGGAAATCCCTCAGCTGGATTATCGACACCAAGAGCGATACGAGGCTAGGGTTCGTGCATCCTCACGCAAATATCGTGCGCAAATAGACAAACTTTAACCTTTTCACTGACTTGCTTGAGAACCCTGCGTCATCCCATTTAAGCCTTTTTCGCTTGGCACATCCGGATGTTTTGACCCAAGTTATTGCTCGAAAAGATGATATTTTCATTCGCCCGCAAAATGTTAAATCACATCAAGATTTTGCAGAAGCTCGTTCCTATGAAGAACTCCGACATATTATTGCCCGTCAGTTGTACGATGCTACACTGACAGACCTTGCATTTGGAGTTCGACACTTACAAGGCGGTGTACAATTTTCTTCGTGATGTTAACACTCATGTGGCCATACTAGAGAAAATTCTTTTGACTCGACAAATACCAGTTTCGGCAGATCAGCCTTCACAGCCTTCAATCGTCAATCTTGCCTCTTGGGTTTAAGCTTGCCCCCCGTATGCTAATTGTCCAGATTTTCCTCTTCATCCGGCTATTGCCCGTTCATGGAGTGCGGGTCGTCCCTCCAGAGTTTGGCTTTTTTGTCAACAGCTTAAAGTGGCCTGACACTAATTCAGCTGCCCAGCCTTCCGATCCCGGAAACACATTGGCTGAACTAGCAACCTCGTTTTCAATGGCCTCTGGCCTCCAATTACCAATCTGGCACAATCATGACGATACACTCTCCGGACCTGTGCCTTTCAACTTTCCCAAACTAAAACTGTACTCTATTATAACGCATATCATAGATCTGTTTTGCGCCAAGCCTATGCCTTCGTCAATCGTTCAATGTTTGGCTAAGATGTCTGAGGCAACCCTCAGTCTAAATCAAACGCGATGAGCTTGTTGCGTATGGGCTATCAAAGGAAGTGCGTAGGTTGAGTTTCTCGCAGACCTATTCTTCCTAATTCTTTAGAAGGTATACAAATTCTTTGAGAACTATGCCGCACTCAAAAACGAATCCAACCCACATACCCCTGCTACTCACAGAGAGTCACAGCTTATACACGGCAGATTCCTCGTTTGTCTCTTGCGGAATGGCCTTTCGAACGTATCAGATCTTTCCAGCAAAACGTTCGAAATTAGTTGTGGCCAATACAAATCTTGATGCCCTGCTCCATGAATGTCAGTGGCCGCCCTAGATGCATTCGTACCCAATTAATTGCACGTGTTCAAGATGTTTCTTCACACATTGCTTGAAAACTTTTCGGTGTGGTCATTTCCTCTTTCTGTCAATCTTCACATAGTCACATTCTGTACCTACCCGGTTGAACAACCAAGGGGGGCAACAGAGTGGGATCGATCCGGGCGATGTGGCGTAGAGGAACATAGTCTTCCAGTCTGGTCCATTTTCAGGTTCCATGTGGGTCTCTTCCCGGGTGTATTGTTTGGAGTATCAACACTTTTGATATCTTTGTGCCCCATCAATCTCATCCTCGTCTTTCATGTTATGAGATTGATGGTGTACGAAAGGAAAAGGACAACGACAAGGAAAATAACTGTGCGTCTAGGTCCTCCAAGCCAAAATATGAAAGTCATAAATGTTTTTGGCGCTGTCAAGAACGAATAAGAGCAGCCTAGCCTTTTTGTTTATGGGGAATTTCCATTGTATTTCATGAAGAAATCACCACATGTTTATACCTTTTATGTCTTTACCCTTCTTTTTTGTGCATTGGAAATCTCTTTAAAATAAGAGACTAATGGCTTGGCTTTATTCTATGGGTTCCTCAATATTTTAACTTAGCCAAGCCATATACTCAGAGGTTCTGTAGACATTTTTTCACGAGGTGGTTTGTGTGAATGGTCTTTGTGAAAAAACACCTTTGGGAACCCCCCTACTGGGATCATGCCATACATGCAGCCTGTTGTGACCTAGTGCCCCATATCCAGCCTAGTTACAGCCAGCAGCAGAACATTGTAGAAGGGCCCTCTGAGGCACATGATAGTCATCCGTGGCTTAGTTTGTTTCACCATGTCTTGAGATTGAAATGGCCTCTACCGCCTGTAGCCATGTGGATAGGGGGAACCATGTCGACTCAACCACCAAGTGCTGACAGCAAGAACGGTGTATTTTGCCAGGCCGATTTTTCATCTGGTTTCGTTTGCCATGACACCAAACACCTGCGAAGAACCCAGACGCGACCTGTTTCCGACTGGCATACTGACCGTACTTGGAGTGCGTATAGGTATTATTATCATGTATTATCATCAAGTCCTCAAAACGATTGATTGATTTCCGGCCAATTTCGTTTTATTTAGATACTTCGGTGGTGAACTGTCGAAGAAAACGTTTGGACGTGTAGATGATTGATATTGTCCTTCAGATTCTGTCGGATTCTCCTTTTTCCCTCACATTCCATCCAGAAACCCCGCCGCCACAGCTTGTTTGTGGTGCCAGGCTGTACCTTTGCCACAAGTGATGTTGAGCAGGGGACTTTGCATGGATGTGGGGATGGATACACACTGACTCACTAATATGGAAGTGGACAACCCCCTGTTCGAAAGTAGTCTGTCAAGAGACCATGCCATCCACTTCAATGTTAATGTGTAAGACTGTATGGCAGCCTGGCATGGGTTGCTGAAGTGGCAAGTGGCGCAGGTCAACAGACTTGTTCAGTTTTTGTTGACTATGACACAAGTAGAAATCGTATTTCAGTCCCATCACCAATAATTTGCATTAATTTGCGATGGATGATCCTGCTTCCTGATTCCTGCTTCATCCCGTTTCGATCGGAAATGCACTGGTGGTATCTCTAGACAATCCATCTTCCCTCATATGGCACAGGTCATAGAAGGCCTGTATATATATATATATATATATTCCTCATTGTTGGTGCAGACTCAACCGCCAATTTTGATTCATCCCTATACTGTACTGCATGACAGCATTCACTCCATCTATTCCGTGCGTATCAATCCACGAATGGAGTTTTTTCTTCTCGACGTGTATTCCAAAACAATGTCAGAAAACTCATGCCCAATAAAGAGACCAATGACTTCTTTTCTGAATGGATGTGAGTGGCCAATCCTTCCATGAACTTCTGCAGCTTAGTTGAATCAACTTGTTGCTATGCATGGGGTTTCACTTTTGGGCTTCTTCTGGTTTTGGACCGATTGAGGTCGACTACCAGACTACTCACTAGTCTTCCCAGTCTTCCCCTTTTCATCATATCCCGTCTTTGACCTGACGAATGTCAAGGGGACGGAGGGTGTAGAGGACAATCCCAGACCATCCATGTATGGAATAGTGACACCCGGATAGACCGAGATCGGAACGGCGACCTGCCAGGAAGACTAGCCGCGGACCGGTTCACGGGTTTTGAGGCATGTGAATCTTCCAGGGCGTACATACATTGAGTGCATTTATGAATATATTTATGTCAGTACAGTATAACTATTCCAGTCCCATTCCCACACACTCCATGGGACTGGAAGATATGCCGCCCCATTGACCCCCCAAACCACCCCAACTGATCGGCAGTCCTATGGCAGTCCCATGGGTCGCGTCTGGGATTCACTGTTTGGAGGCTTGGTCTTCCGGTTGGTTCGTTGAATCACCGCATGAGAGGATGCCTACAGAGCGAGAAAGCCCTATTAATGAGTGGAGTAGACCGAAACCGCCTCCCTTAGGCATTCCGACTCCCTTAGGGTTCGGTTTCGGAACATCGAACCTGTTTTGTTTGGGGATGACCAAAGATACCGACGTCCTAATAAACGGTAGACCTCCCTTGGTATACCATAGGAAGGACATCCTTCCAATGGTAGTGGCACGTAGCAATGGTGCATGGTCATTCTTTTCGGTCAGGCCATCCATTTTCGATACCTCCGCCTCCTTGAGGTCCAGTGCCAAGACCACACACCGTGGCCGGGGGCGAGGCGCGGCCGGCCGAGGCCGGGGGCACGGCCGGCTGGGAGGCATAGGTATCAAAAAAACATAAAAAGAGCATCACAAAAAAATAAAAACAGGATCAAACAAATAGAAAGCGAAGCAAAAAAAATATATTCCTTGATAGGCCTCTTCTGCTGCTCTCCTGGCCTTGTGGTCTGCGGGTCCTCTGGTAATGTGGTCCCTTGGTCCTTTGGTCCCTTGGTCCTCTGCTCCACTGGTCCTTTGGTCCCCTGGTCCCTTGGTCCTTTAGTCCACTGGTCCCCTAGTCCTCCGGTCTCCTGGTCCTCTGGTCCTGTGGTCCGCTGGTCCCCTGGTATCCTAGTCCTTCTGTCTCCTGGTCCGCTGGTCTTTTGCTCTCCTACGGCGCTCGTCTGTCGATCTCCTGGTCCCCTGCTTGCGCAAGTAGAGGCTTGCTTACTACTACTACTACTACTACTACTACTACTCCTCCTCCTCCTGCTGCTGCTGCTGCTGCTGCTGCTGCTGCTGCTGGTGCTGGTGCTGCTGCCGCTGCTGCTGCTGCTACTGCTACTGCTACTGCTACGCTGGTGCTGCTGCTGCTGCTACTGCTACTGCTACTACTACTACTACTACCCTAACCATCCTCAGTGGGCTAGAATATTTTTTTTAAAATTACCTTTTTACTTTTTATTGATCCCCGTTGAATATATTTTTTAAATTCTATTTTTATTTTTATTTTGATCCCTTACCCCGGCTGGGAATCCTGGTTTTGCGAAGCAAGGTGATTTGTGTTTTTGACGAATCTGGTTCAATCCCAAACACCTGGGGAATATTTTTGACCTTTTCCAACTTCCGAAACAGCAAATCCAGGGAGTTCTTCATCCAAGAGCACCACACCTCTTTGGTAAAAGCCTGGTGGTCATCAACTTGCTCCTTCATGTGAAGGCCTCCCAGGCAACGACTGGAAGGTTCGGGCAAAAAGGCCAGTCCCTTGGTTTGGTACCCATATTTGCCGATCAGGCCAGGGGTGGTTCAACTTCTTCCACAAAGGTCGGAACGCCTGGGAGGTCTCCCTATTCTGCTACACACTCATATGGCTGTGGTTCAAAACCGGGAGACCCTCATGTTTCTCACCGAACAATGAACTGAACTGTAATTCATGTGTTGTTCTCACACCATGTTTGGACAGATGGCAGAAAGCCACCTGTGCCTGCCAGTTCTTCCGGCGTCGTGAGAGGAAGAACTGAATAGACCACCAGAGTTTGGTCAACCTACCAGGGTTTTCGTTCCGGGCTCCGGTGACATGGCCGGACACCCATCATCCTTCGGCCGAACTCATCCCAAGCCCGGAGCGAAGCCAAGTGGCAGCACGGCGTTGAAACGCATGTTCCAAATGAGAGGATGGGGCAAAGCTGTGGCGCTACCTCCGCTTTTTGGCTTCGCTTTGCCTTTGGTCTAGAGCTCCTACCTGAGATGTGAGGAGGAATCTTTTGGAGATAGGAGACGGAGTGGAGTGGAGGCGAGGATTGGATGCGAGATGATGCGAGGATTGATGATGGAAAGAAAGAAATTGAACAGCAAATGGATGTCAAACATCCGTAGATACCTCACTGACCAAATCAGTTCACCTGGTCCTAATTCCACACCACCTCAACTTCCCCACATTTTCACCACCAAATCCGCCAGCTCGACACCTCCGCAGCATCCCTCGCTCCCTCGCTCCACCTCCCTCCGCACGTCCAGGCCGAGCGGATTGGACCTCAGGCACGCGGGACGGACGGGACGGGCGCGGGAGGCGAGACCGGACTGTTGGTGGTCCTTGAGCACCACGCGGACTGGCAGGACCATGCAGGACCGGTGGTTTGGGCCCTGGTGACCCTGGTGGTTCCGGTTGAATCAGGGCCCAAATCTCGATTCACCAGGCTCAGAACGAAGCTCCAAGAAGGTGGTCTGGAGTGCAGAACATGGAGTGTTTGGGTTTGTATTCAACCTTATTGTCATCTCAAAGAACCATAGTTTGCACAGTTCTCCTTCAACCATAGTTTCCTGGGATAGTTCATCCCCCCAAAGCAGCGGCCACTCAGGTTCTTTCTTTCTTTTTTCACCATTGTGCCACAAAGAATCATAAAGAATCCACCTAGCACTTCCTGTGTAAACGTAGGGTAGGGTGGTCTAAGATGAGTACCCATGTCCAGTGATGACCCTGGCACGATCCCTGGAGTTTGTCACTGTGGAGTTCTGGGCCTCCCAAGTCTCGCTGGTTTCGCCTCCCCGATCGCGATGAAACGAAGGAACGAAGGGAACGATTCCGCCCGGAGTGGGACGTCCAGTCTGACCCAGGTCCGGTGCTGGACACCTCCTTTTTCGTAGTGGTTGTTGTATGAGCAACTTCAGTAACATGAGGTCCAACTGACTTGTACAAAAATAATGAATCCGTCCACCAGCCAAGAGGGACTTCATGGAGTTTGGGGGTGGCAAAAACACTCCAAACTGCAACGGACAAATGCAGACATGGAGTTGATGATGTTGATGATGATGTTGATCCGAGCCAAGTTCAACATATTTGAAGTTGATGATGTTTCCAAGACAACATGCGACACCTCAAGTTGATGATGTTCCATGCTTTCCAATATTTTTCAACTTCAAGTCATTGACGTATAATACCCAATGCGTTCGAACAAGGATCCGTCTCCCTGGGCAGAATGGCTGTCTGTCAGCTGAGCTCCAAGGACCAAATGACTCAGTCGCCTTTTCTTTTTCCTCCCGACACGGTTGTTCCTCACGCAGGTACTTGCGCCCAGAAAGAAAATAAAGACCTTGCGAATCAAACAGTCCCAGACACGACCTGTCTGGGACTGGCAGTTCGGACTGCCGAGAAACGGCCAGGGGTGGTTGGTTGGTTTCAGGGGTCAATGGGGCGGCAGTCCTATGCCAGTCCCATTGGTTGTGTTTGGGAGTGGTTGACCCGACCTGACCCACCGACCTACTGATAGCCGTCCTGACCGAACTCGTTCGCTCGCTCCGTCGGCCTCGGGGCGTCCGACTCAGCGCAGGACACAGCGATGAAATGTGATGAGTAGGCTGAATGACCTATCAGGATTGGGGATATGTAATGACACCTACCAATCAGGATATGAGATGTGATGAGATGTATATTTTATACATGCATATATATCATCCAGAGGTGATGTGATCGGTAGGTTGAAAGACCTTCGCCAAAACAAGGGTCTTTTGGGCGCAATTTTGAGGTCATTTTGGTGTCTTCGTCCGGACGCATGTGATTCGAATCATCAAATTTCAAAATCTTCCAGATTCCAGAAAGGTGTTTCTGTTGACCAAACCCATCAATTTCACATACCTATCCGAAATCCCTCAAGAATCGAAGATGGCGTCGTTCTTGGCGGTGCTTGGCGGTATGACATCTCACACCTCCCAGACACGACACCTGTCTGGAACTGGAAGAGATGACGCCCCAGTCGAAGACCCCAGAAGTCAATCAACCAACAGTGAAAACCACTGGCAGTCCCCCCCCCCGCATAGGGGTTGTGTTGAGTCTTTGGGACGGGTTTTGGGACGATAGTCGGAGTGGAGTGAAAACTGAGGCAGGAAAGGACCATTTGACAGCTTGCGAGGCACCAGGGAGCCAGGAATGGATCAATTGGACAGTCACTCTCCCATCTCTCCCAGTTTGGTCTCTGAAGTTCCTCACAGGATCGATCGGTTGGGCGAGTCGACGACTCGTTGGGCGCCACGAACGGTGGACGTTGGGCACCGGGACGTTGGACGGTCTCGGAGTCCGGGACGGTCTCAGGGAGCGGAGCCCAGCAGCCCGAGCAGCCCGAGCAGCCCCAGGCGGCGGAACACCAATCCCTGTTTAAAAGCTTCTGCTGAAGAGCAGAAGACCGGAAGAGCTATCCCAGACACGACCTCCATAATGGGACAGGAATATTGACCGATCAGTTGGGGTGGGTGGTTGAAAAGGGGTCAATGTGGGCAGTCCTATGCCAGTCCCATTTGTTGTGCCTGGGTATAATGATCATCAAGAACCTGCAAACATTTGCAAACACTTTTGTGGAAACTGTCGGACGGACGGTGAATTAAAGAAACTCTATTTCCACCATCGATGATTATGGAACCTGTTTGTTTTTTTTGGATGAAGATAGATCGAAGGCCTGTTGACTGTTGTCTGTGACACCTCATGTTTCTTTTCATGCTCTGGGTATTCTTTTGAAATAGATGCCTGGACGATTCGGAAGTGAACTCCCCGAGGCAAAGCCCAAAACGGCCCTTGATTTGATTTGGATTCGCTTCTTCCGCGGGTACGGTAGACCGGTAGAGGCCATGTGTGTTGGGGAGGCAGGTTTCGGACCATTGGGTCCGAAACCTCGACCTCCAAAGCGTTTGCCCCACTGCGCTTTTTCCTGGTTCTTCAGAATGAAATAGCTGTCAACAGGCCATTTTATACGTAGTCATCCTAGAGTAGATAGAATGATAATGAATAATACATGCACCGATCCAAAAACACGACCAGGATAGATATGGATTTTTGGATTTTCCCATATTCTATCTAGTCCAGGATGACTACTAATATATATATATATATATGCACATACACTGTTTTGAATGATGCTTGGAGGTTTCTTTCCTGTTTCGGTCGACCAGGGTGCCTTGGACCCACGACCTTAGGTCTGCCTGGCTCGGCCAAGGTGAGGAAATCCTCACATGTCACTGGCTCGGTGATCCCACAGACCCTATTGGGATAAGGATGTCACCGAGTGGGATCACCGTCCTTAGGTGTCTTATAAGGTGTCCGGATCCGAGGAGAACACAGCTCGAATGGGACGGCTTTGCAGAGTGACCACCGATGGAATGGTCAGAAATGGGGGCGTGCCACGACTGGTGCCCTGAAGAGGGCTTGTGTGCTTGCTCCAACGGGTCATCCAACGAGTCCCATGCGTTTGTCGTGGGTGGATGGCGGTCGAAACCAGGTTCACTTTGTTTCGCTGATCCAGCGGCTTTTTCTAAGCAGTTGGGACGTTTGTTTTTTCAAAAATCGCTCGTAAACCAGGCATAGAGACATGTGCATGAACTCATCACTCAAACGGATGGACAGACTAGACCTGTTCGATCTTCGATCTTTCTTGATGAATCCAAGGGAATTCACGGCCAAACCGACGGTGAGGGCGCGAAAGTCGACGGTGACACGTGACACGGGAGGCTTGTGACCTGAGAGGCCAGTCCCATGGCTCGTCCCTTTCGCTGCATGATCCCATCCATTTTTTGCGCCCCCAAAGCACGACGGCACCGCGATCGACGCGGGGGGGAGACGACCGACTCGGGAGGAGGACCCAACAGTGTGGTGGGGCGGTAGCACTAACCCATAGGGTCCAGGTAGCTCCTGAGGATGGTCTTGGGGGGGTCAAAGGACATCCTCAGGATGGTCCTGGACCCTTAGGGTAAGTGACAGGGTGCTGCAGCGTCGACGCAGGACGCCCGGCGAAGGGAAGGGACGGCAGCGGGCGCCAGGCAGCGGACACTGGGCGCTTTCGAGAGAGTTCCCCGGTTGTCGCGATTCCGCGGGCCGAAACTTCAGCTTCAGCCGCACGACAATTTGCGTGCGTGGGTGAGATGCTGGGTGCAAGCTGGGTGAGATGAATGGTGCAGTTGGATGGCCCATGGGCCGTGACCCACCTGCTTCGCCCGAGTATCTACCCCAGTCCACCAGATCGATTCGTTTCACCTTCGTGCCCGGTCGGGATCCTCGTACCATGACAGGGCACCCAGTCCATGCCTATACCAGCACGTTTCCGTTTGAGGTGTCGACCATCAATAGCCTCGTTTGATGAGGCGATGACCGGGGTGTCCTTCCGAACCACCGGACGAGTGGTTTCGGTCCTGGTAGGCCTGATCGTGAGCAGTGCCATGGAGTGTTCGTTTGGGGTTGGTGGATTCCAGTTCACCAGGACATCAAGTCTGATTCTGTTGTTTTGGGCCAGAAACGAAGAGGATAGGAGGTGACGGTGACAGTCTGACAGACCAGTCTTTTTTATTCTTGTTTATTTTTGCATGGTATTGAACGCACCGTGAGACTAGCATTTGCTGTGAGAGCAGGCTTTTCTAGACTCCTAGACTATCTCAAGTGGTGCTCAGGCGCTACGTGCCGTGTATTCCATACATGGATAGTCTGAAATATGCATGTATGTTTGCTTGTCATCCACTTATATAAATGGAACTTTGTTGAGGGGTCACTTAGTCTGTAGACAATTGTTGGGGGTCACTTTGTTCAAGTCAATGTTGTTTGTCATCCATGGAATGCTTCCTTGAGCAGTGACGAGCCAAGGGTGACAAAACTCTGCAGGCACAGGCGTGATGCTATGCAAAGGCGTGATGATTCCCAGATTATCCATGGGTTGCGGACTAGTTGCATAGGTCACAGTGACCTACATGGCATTTTCATATGGTAAATGTATGTATTATATACTTGTATATATAACGATTCCGGTCCACCGGATGGTCTGGGGTTTCATGAACTCTTCAAGATAACCAGTTCAAGACAGCTCTCTTTTCAACCCCCATCGAACGGAAGCAAACACATAATGAACAGCAAAAGCCACCACTGCCGCGCTTTGCTTGGACAACTTCAACCACTGCCGTGGCAGGCGTGAACCTGAGCACGTTGACGGGTGAGGAGAGGAGTAAGGTGCCCAAAGCTCTTTGGCAGGACACCTGCTGGGCGCTACCGCGAAACCTCGCGAAAACCGCGCTGGACCTGCGATTCGCGGACCGTGTGGAGGAGGGGGGTACAGAGCTGAGGGTATTGATCGAAGCCGAACAAGTGAGGTGAGGTTGATTGAGGTTCCAATCATAAGGGTTTTTCATGATGGGATAAGATGTGTCTATTTTTCCTTTTCTTTGTAGGGACTTGAACTGGGAGGTCCTCCCTGTTTTGCACATCCATCATAAGAATTGACTGGACCAAGGAAACCTGAGGCGAACATGGGCAGAACGAGTCGAGGAAAAAACCTGGTCACCAGCTGCACCAGCTCATAGTTCAGAGACCCTTCCTGGAAGCCCAGTCCCAGCCAGAAACACACGGTTGGAATGTATTATGGTTTGCTTGAGATCGGACATAACAAGTGGTTGGGACTGTGGACACATCCTCACTTGCTTGGGACTGGGTGTCCAGGTGATCACGATATACCCGCAACGGTCTTGTTTCAGGTCACCAGTTTTGGCGTCCCCGACAAGACCCACAACCTCCAGCCAGTTGGAATATATCCCGTACACTCCATGGGACTGGAATCTATGCCGCCCCAGACAGACCCCTGGCACCACCCCTGGCCGTTTTGAAGGCAGTCCGGACTGGCAGTCCCAGACGGGTCGCGTCTGGGTATGTTATATGTCGATGTCGACGGGTCGCGTGGTGCAACGAAAGACGCAGGGACCGGACCGGCAGCAGCCGTCGGACTGTGCATCAAGAGGTCGAGTCTAGGGAGGTCGGACTGCGCGTGCCAGTTTTTCGCTGCTTATACGGCACACGTCCCAGTCTCATGCTTGGCAGGCTGTGATTTCGAGTAGTGCTTTGGCTGTGCGGCTTACAGCTACCCCACAGATATGGAACTGGACATCAATCAATAGATACACAGCCCCGCCCCATTTCATCTACACTGCTCACTACCATCTACACTGCTCACCACCTGCTCACCACCATTTCGATTGGGTCCTCCTCTCACTTGGAGGACCCAAGCTGTTTCACAGCCTCTCAATTCACTTCATGTTCGCTCGCTTCGGCCCCCTTTGGGGTGACCGATCCATCGGCCGTGGCCACCGGCGCCGGCACGGTCGACCGCCCCGGACGGTGCGAAGCGCTTCGATCTGCGTCCGGTGGATTGAGCTGTTGGGCTCGTCTCCCCTGGGAGTCAACCATCAAAAAGGAAGGGGTCTGCATTCAGTCTGAGTAACTCGGTGACCTGAGATTCAGTCGGAGAAGGTCCTGAAAAACCCGACCGGTCCAAACCGGCGCACTCGTCGATGTGCTGGGACGATCCGATCGCTTCGATCTTCGCTTCGTTAGGACTCAGTGGACCGTTCCATCAAGCGGCTGATGGTGGACTTCGACCTCACTGACGAACCGCACGGGGGCACAGATGTGGGGTGGACCGCACCGTATGCGGGAAGTATAAGGTTGTGCTGGAATGAAGGTATTGAAGCACAGCATTGCCATCGTTCTAGGTGGATAACTTTGCAAACTTATCAACTGAACAATGGTCAAGACATGTCAAGACCTTTAATGTTGACCTCTGATTAGTAAACGGGGGTGGCACATCTTGAAATTTTGGTTTACCCTAAATGAAGTTCATCCCAGGTTTCAAGAAAGAATGTAAATTAGACATGAAATTGATCCCTTACTAAAACACAATCTGTTTTTTGTTGTATGTATAGTTTCTTTTTGATGTCGTTTCTTTGAACATTTGCTATCTGTATTTAGGGTGGGTTTATTCATCAGGGCGGGAACTTGTGGCTGACTATATTTCGGGTCCCTTTATTAATCATATCAACATTACTGCAGGTAAGAATTGCGTCATTCAAATTCAATGCGTTGCGTAAGGTTCCGAAAGAGCCAGACACAAATTCCTTGGCACAGGTCGCACTAGGGTTGCGTAATATGTGTTTTCACCGCTCAACAGTCTGAGTTTTGGATGAAACGAACCTGAGGTATTCATGTCACAACTTTTTTGTCGTGCTGTCCGTGTCGAATAACGGTTCATGGTTTTTCACTATGTCAATGTTGCCAGACATGTCAACATGACCAGGTCTCCGCTCCCCCTCCACCGGTCCATCGGTAGAAAAGCAGCGCTCCCATCGGTCCATTGACGCCAAGTCCACGGTAACGGCTCGGTGGGACTGGAGCAGGTCCTGCCGCTTGCACCACCTGGAGCGGATGCACGATTGGCGGCTCGGTGGGACGAATTCGGCGGTCACGCGGCGGTCACGGTGGGTTCTCCGGCGACGTTCGTCAAGCTCCGGCGACAGGTCGAGCCTTCCAAGGTGAGGTGCTTTTGGTTGGGGAGGATGTGGCGCAAGTGGCACAGAAGCGCGCTAGACCCATGCGCTAATTGCAAGAACTTGCGTCAGGCGAAAGAAGGGCTTCGATCGGGGGCATGCCGGTCATGTTCTGGACCACACCAGACCAGCTGGGACGATTTGGATCGGTCGAAGAGCTCGCCAGGAATGGTTGGGTCGGAGATCGATCTCCATGGCAGGGGTCGGACCCGACACCATAGCATTGGGTTTGGACCCTCAAAATGCATCATTTGAGGGATTTTGAGGGCCCGGATATACAACTAATCCAGTCCTATGGATGGTCTGGGTACTGTACATCCATTCACTGAGCGTATCCCGAACCTCGCTGAGCCCTTTGTTTTCATGCCTGTGAACCTGAGAAGGTACTTGATCCATTCGGATCAGCGAGTGGATCAGCGTGGAACGTGAAATGGATCTTTGGAAAAAGGGTTTGTGTTCACGTGAAATCGCCTACAATGAATGGTCCTGACATATACCCTATATAGTTCAATGTTCACGATGGTCGAAGCATGGACGAGCAGCATTTCTAGTCATTTTGGGGCTGGATCTTTTGGTGAACACCTAGAAGAAGATTCTTGCGAACATCTCTTTGGAAATAGAAACAAATTGACATTGCGAGTAAGAACTAATAATTATATATATAATACTTTTAGTAATAGCAAACTGATGATACTAGTCAATTGTTTATTGCATCGATACATCCAAATACCTGTGCCGGAGCTTCCCACCCCAGAAACACTTCACGGGTCATTCTCAAGCACCGCGGCACTCAGGTTCGTGCGGCACGGGCCGAAGGGAAAAGCCCCGGCGATGCCGGTGCCGCCCCCGGGGGCCGGGGTGGCGGTCGAAAGACCTCCGCCGGGTGCGGGTGGAGCAGGTCCCAGCTTCAAACAGCACCGACTGGGCAGGATGCGGCATGGTGGCCAGGTCGCTCACAAGCTTTTGACCGACTTGCAGACCATTTGCATCGACGCTTGGGGAGATCCAAAGACTGTCAGCGTGCCACAGGTGGGTCTTGCCCGTTGCTTCAGAACGTGATCGAGGAGAGACTGGCTACTCTGGTGAGAGGCTGGAGGTCGACGTTGATGCAACTGCCTGAGAGGTCAGGATGTCCGGAACCTCTTGAACCTTCTTGACCCAGCGTGCCAACGGCCGCTAGGCCAAGAGCCTGGTCCAAACCTCTCGGCGAACCGTGAACCTAATAGCCCAAGCCGAACGCACGACAGAGGCAACACGACCAGGGATCTCAATATCTCTGTTAATGTGTTACCTTGCAAAAAGGTCTGTGCTCGCGTGGCATTTGGATCGTTTGGGTCCCTTCAGAAGCGCACACCGATTTGATGTGAGGATCGTCAACATCTGTTTGAAAAAAAAAAGGTGCAAAGTGCAGGTGCACTACATGGGCACCTTGGTACCGAGAAATCTGAGGCGTTGCGACCGCCTGCGACGCACACGCGACCGCGACGTCCACTTGCAACACACGGGAACCCCACGGGTGGTCGGAGATCAGGGGAGCGATGGTTGCAATGGACTGACAGGTTTTTGTTGTCTTCTTTTTTGATTTGAAACCACCAGGCACCGGCCTCCGCCTCGTTTTGGACCGCGAGTTCAGCTCGTTTCGGAACGCGGATTCGGATCGTGTCGGAACGCGGGTCAAATGGTCTCTTGGAAGTGGTTTCTGGGAAGTGGTTTCTGGGAAGTGGTTTCTGGGGAGTGGCTTCTGGGAAGTGGTTTCTGGGGAGTGGTTTCTGGGGAGTGGCTTCCGGGGAGTGGTTTCTGGGGAGTGGTTTCTGGGGAGTGGTTTCTGGGAAGTGG